GCTGTGTCTGAGTGTGCTGCGGGGGAGTGTGTACATGCACGAGTGCCCCTGTCTGTGTGTCTGTACATGGCTGTGTCTGAGTGTGCTGCGGGGGACTGCACCATGAGCAGAGGCTGAGACGACCCCAGCCGCCCCCGCAGAGCTCTCAGCAGGGGCTTGGTGGCCCCACCTGTTGCCCAGTTTCACCTCACCATCATCTCTCCGGTGCAGAGCAAGAGAGACCCCTTGCTACACACCAGCCCAGGGAGGCTTCTCTGAGGCATCTCTCCCGAGGGGGCTGCCCCCACCCCCGCCCTGTCCGTGAGTGTCTGTCTCCCCCGGCACACAGAGAGAGTTTGATGTCTCGCCTCCCGCCCTACAGACGCGTGAGCAGCTGCAGGCGGATGTGCAGCACGCACAGGCGCGGATCGAGGACCTGGAGAAGGCGCTGGCCGAGCAGGGGCAGGTGAGGGTATGCAGGGGGTGCACCTTGGGCCCCCTGCAAGGTGGGGGCTGTACACTGGGTCCATGTCACCATGAACACCGGGCCCTGACCACCTTAGACGGGACAGGACTGTGACTGTGTTGCCCTCCTGCACATGACCCCAGCAAATGGGGTGGACTCCTCAACCCACCCAGGTCTGGGGGTCACACCTAGCCTCTCCTGACCTGGGGTCCCTGGGAGCCCCATGTCCAAGAGGGTTCAGTCACAGGATGGCAGGTTTACCCTAGAGCCCCTTCCTCATCCCCCCACCCTCACCCAGTGGGGCCCTGACCCGTTGGGCATCGAGGCCCCAAGTGGCCCTGAGCAGGCTGGTGTGAGGCCCTGCTGTCCCTCTGCAGTGCGTTCTCCCTCCGTTCTGCTTCCAGGACATGAAGTGGATCGAGGAGAAGCAAGCCTTGTACCGGAGGAACCAGGAACTGGTGGAGAAGGTCGGCCGGCCGTGGGGGCCTGTGGGGTCGGGTAGGGTCTATGTGTACGGGCCAGTCTGAGGGAGCCAGCCAGTGACTGTGAGTGGGCCCACTCCCCTCTCAGCCTGGAAGGGGTCCCAGGCCTGGGCTTGTGCTCAACCCTGTCTCTGCCAGGGTCCTCGGCTCTTGCTATTTGCTGGTGTGACATCTTGGCTTGAAGAGTGGCCTTTGGAAGCCACCAGATCATGGAACCAGAAAGCCTGCTGGGCCAGCGCTATGCCTACCAGGCCCTCACAGTGCCCTATGACCTCAAGGGAGACATCCCACAGTGCCCACATGCCCAGCATCCACCCCCACCCCCACCGCCCACACCCCCAGTGCCCACACCCTCATCATCCACATCCACAGTGTCCACCCCACTGGGGCCCAGCTTCCTCAGCAGGACTCAACACTGGGCACTCTCGCTTTCCCCAGTGGCGGCCTCAGCTTCCTCCTGGGGGGGGTGTCCCCGGCTTCTCTAGGGTGCAGTCAGGGAGGAGCCCACCCTTTGAGCACTGGGCCATCAGGGCACTGGGAGGGGCTGGGCCTCGAACCCTGGCCCAGGTGGGCTGGCAGGGGTGTGGCTTGTGGTCCCATAGTCCCTGATGGGGAGGGGCTGGGAAGCAGCCACCAGCTCAGAGGGCAGCTGGCGGTGAGCAGGGGCAGGCTCCAGGGGCCGGCTGCCCACCCCGAGGGGGTCCTGCTCTGAGTCTGGCCAGAGGCCACCTACACACGTCCAGGGTCCCTGGTGCTCAGTGCTGCCTGGAGCCTGTGCCCTGGCCCCCTGGAGGCTTAGGTCTGTCCCCCAGTGGCCTGACTGTCCCCTCCTTCTGAGGGAGCAGCCAGGGCTGAGCCAGCGGCAGCCCGGACCGGCCTCCGGCCTGGTGCACTGCCACCACAGTCCTGCTTGACAAATCCCTGCTGGGGACTGGCCGGAAGGATCCGGGCTGGGAGCTCCAGGGGGTTCCTGCCTTTGCCCTCAGTGGTGCCTCCTGCTCCACACCCACTGCCAGTTCCTCTGGGCCACCCCTACCTTGGGTTTCAGGCTCCCTGCAGATGGCCAACACCCCCCCCACACACACACACACACACACCTGCACCACCCCACAGGACACAGCGGGGACAGACTGCAGCGAGGGCGCTGCCCATGGCTCTGGGGGTGTCTGGCCCCTGCTGAGCCTGCGGCCCTCTGCTCCCAGATCAGGCAGATGGAGACAGAAGAGGCACGGCTGAGACACGACGTGCAGGATGCCAAAGACCAGAACGAGCTGCTGGAATTCCGGATCCTCGAGCTGGAGGTGCTGCCTGGGGGGCAGGCGGTGACCCCTTACTGGGAGAAAACCGGGGCTGGGGGGCCTGTGTCTTCCCCCATCCCCGGGGATGAGTCTGAGGATGTGATGCTGGCAAGGGTATGGGGCACGAGTCCCTCTGCCCCACTCCCTGGGGGCGTTCTGGGGGAGGTCAGCATGGTCACTGTGTGTCCCCATTAGTGGTGACCATGGCCAGGCTCCTGTAGCCTCCTCCGCCTAAACCCAGCACTGATGAGCAGTGGGGATGCAGGGGTCAGGGGCTCAGCTTCCTGTTCAGGGCCACACAGCCAGTGACAGCCCCAGGGTCCCCTACCTCTCACCCTGCCCCCTAGTCAGGGACCCCCACTCACCTAGCACTTCTATAGGGGCTGAGCTCTCAGGAACTCCCACTGACCCCACACTGGGTGACCACTCAGCCCAGCTCCCCAGAGAAGGAGACTGGGTAGCTGAGATGCCAGCCTCTCTGTCCCCGACCCAGGAGAGAGAGAGGAAGTCACCAGCCATCAACTTCCACCATGTGCCCTTTGTGGACGATGGGAGGAGCCCCCTGCAGGTGTACTGCGAGGCGGAGGGCATCACGGTGAGGGCCGCCCCCCTCCCCCCCTCCCGGGGCCTCACCAACACCCACCCTATCCTCACCACCCATTCACCCCTCCCCAGTCGCCAGGGCACCCACGCCTTTTCCTGGGCCTCCATGCCACTCCCCGTCTCACCCACCTCACGGCCCAGTGTCCACCCCGCCCCCCATCCTCACCCCGCCACTCGTCCTCATCCCCGCCCCATCTCCCCCCCGCCCCCCGCCCACTCCACCCCAGGACATCCTGGTGTCGGAGCTGATGAAGAAGCTGGACATCTTGGGGGATAACGCCGTAAGTGTACGTCGCTCTCCTGACTTGTGCATGCCCCGCCCCACGGAGGCCTGGTCCTCTCCTGCCTGCCCATGACGCTCTGCCCCTCAGGGTGCCTCTTAGCCCGCTGTCCACTGCACCTGCGCCTTCCCCATCACCCCCCCTCGCCACACCTCCCGCGCCCTGCCCCTCTGGCCCCGCCCAGCGCAGACCCCTCCCCAGCAGCTTTGCATGTGTCCACTCCAGCGCCTCCCACACTGGACAGCAACTGTGCCCGCAGACCCGCCTTTGTGAGCACTGCAGGGCGGGTGCTGCTGCCCCCTTGACCCCACTTCCTCGGGTCCGGCCTTGGACTATACATGTGGAAGTAGAGCTGGAGAAAGAGGCGACGTTTTGTCTGGACCCGAGACAGAAGCGTGGCTCCCCTCTCTGTGCTCTCTGAACCCCCACTCCATATTGGAGGAACCTCCCTGCCTGACCTCACTTGGGGAACAGCTACGAGATGCTGGGGGTGCTCTCCAGGCCAGCTCCCCACCCACCCAGACAGGGGTGGGAGGCCCAACCCATGGGGTGGGCCCAGGGTTCCACTCTGGACGGAGCAAGGTAATCTGGCATAGGTGGAAGCTGCTTGACTGTGGGTTCAGGGCTTCCCCTTCCCTGATGTATTAGTCTAGGTACTTTAGAGAAACAAATCCACAGCAACTCATGTATAAGAGAGTTTTATGTAAAGAAAGTGTGCATCATGAAAACATCCCAACCCAATGCTGCCCAAGCCCACAAGTCCAACATTAACCCATTAACCCAATACCAGTCCACAAAGTCCTCCACCTCACAAAACAGAGGCAATGATGCTGACTGCAGGAGGAAAGCTGAGTCAGTGAACGAATAAGCCTCTCAGCACTAGCAGGGGTCTCCACATGGCTGCTCCAGCACCCAGGGCTGCATCGGGATAGGTCCATGCGGCTTCTCCTTGGGGATGTCTTGTAGGAAGTCAATCTTGCAAGCTGAAGCAGGGAACTGCTAAGGCAGCTGCACCCTGGTGCGACCATCACAAAGCAAGAGACCTGAGAACTGGAAAGGCGAGGCTCACCACCTGACTTGGGGGCAGATGGGGCCAAGAGCCCACTGCTAGTACTGACCAGGGTACAGCTCTGGCAGGTGGAGACGTGGGCAAAACTGTGAGGGCCCATAGTCTGGGGGAGCCTGCAACCAGCTTTGAGAACCCTGCCGGTGGGCTGGAGCTCCTGCTGGTGAGACCCCACACTAGCTGGCCACCAGAGAGACCAGCCATGAGTAGTGACAGGAGAGGCCGTCCACCAGCTGGTGACAAAGACAGTCTGGCCACAGGTGGCTCCACAGCTCAGCTCCACCCCAGTGACAGGGACAGGCCACAGATCATCCATGGCAGGATAGACCAATGCCCCTGGCCCCTGGCTGTGCCGGGCTCTGCTGGCTTATGCAGTGGTGAGCCCAGACTGCCAGTGACCTGCAGCCAGAGGGCAGCAGCCAGGACCATGCGCCCACACAGAGTGGGAGTGTGAGGGACAAGCCGGGGCAGCAGGACCCTGCACCTAGGGTGCAAGCCGGGACAGTGAGGGAGGACCCGGGGCTGCAGTGGGGTACCCAGGGTGCTGCCATCTGACTGGCTGCCTCTGCTTTGGGGCAGAATCTGACCAATGAGGAGCAGGTGGTGGTCATTCAAGCGCGGACCGTGTTGACTTTGGCAGAAAAGGTAATGGTGGCCATGGGACGGTGGCTGTGTGGCCTCTGGGTTGGGTTGCCTGGGGAGAGTGGCTCCAGCACAGGGCCCTGACCTCTCCTCCCAACCCTGGGAGACCTGCCCCTGCCCAGCCTGGACCTGGACCTGGACCTAGGCCACTGAGCTGCCCTGCCCTTCCCTGACAGCTCCCAACACTCTTGCCCTCCTGGTCGCCCCCAGCCCAGGACCAGCTGACCAGCCACAGGCAGGGTCACCTCTAAGGGCTCGCCAGCAAGAAGGGGGAGGGGAGCAGCCTGGACAGGGGCATGTGGCCTCAGGGAAACAGCCCAAGCCATGTCCCCTAGCAGAACCAGGCTGGTCCACCTGAACCCCAAGTCAGCACCACCCTCTGGGGAGGGAAGAGACTTCTTGGGCACAGGGGTGGGAGGCAGCCCCTCCTGCCCAGGCTCATCTGCCCTCACTGGGATGGAAGGCAGGCCAGCAGGGGCCTGCGAGGACCCCCAGGGGCCCCGTGACACGCCACTTCTGTTACACCAGTGGCTCCAGCAGATTGAGGAGACCGAGCTGGCCCTGCAGCAGAGGATGGTCGACCTGGAGAATGAAAAGGTTCGTGTGGACGGTGCCCTCACGACCCTGACACTGACCACAACTGGTCCCTGCCCCCAACATCGACCATGTCCAGTCCCCATACCCAGGTCCCCAGCATTGACTATGTCCGGTCCCTGCCCCCACATTCCCAACACTGACCATGGCCGGTCCCCATTCTCACATCCCCAACACTGACCACAGCCAGTCCCTTCCCCCACATCCCCAGCACTGACCACGGCCGGTCCCCACTCCACGCCCCAGCACTGACTGAGGCTGGTTCCTGCTCCCGTATTCCTGGCACTGACCAAGGTTCCTTGGCCCCAGGAGCTGTTCAGTAAGCAAAAGGGCTACCTGGACGAGGAGCTGGACTTCCGAAAGCAGTCTCTGGACCAGGCTCATAAGGTAAGTGCCATGCCCTTCCCTGCAGCCGCCTTGTGCCCCAGGTGCACTGCAGGGGCCTCAAGGCCAGGGCTTTGCAGGCCAGCTGCACTGAGAGGAAGACCAGCCCACCGGCCCCCTCCTGTTGGTTAAGTCGTTGCTGACTCAGGAGGTCTGCTGGTGGCGCCGGGTGTGGATCGGGTGGTGGGCTGAGGCCGGCTGCCCAGCGAAGGTTCCGTCTGGGAACCCTTCCAGGGAGGTCCCGAGTGGCATGTCTGGTCTCTGGGTTGTACTGCAGGGTTCCTCTTGTCCTTGGACAACCGGGCTCTACGTGAGACTGGGGAGAGGCCCTTGTACCCCTGATCTTCGAGGGGAGTGGTGAGCAGGGTTGCAGGGTTGACCTTCTTTCCAGAAGGGGGTCATCGGGCCTTTCTTCCAAGTGTCTCCCAGAGTGGACTTGACCTTCCAGCCTCTCTCTTGGTGCTGAACTGTCCACACCACTCAGCACAAGAGGGGGTCTGTGAAATGGGGCTGCACGTAACTCAGGGGTCCTCCTGCTCCCCTCCCCCTCCCCCGCCAAATTCTCTGGGTTTCCTCTGTGTGTGTGTGTGTGTGTGTGTGTGTGTGTGTGTGTGTGTGTGTGTGTGTGTGTGTGTGTGTGTGTGTGTGTGTGTGTGTGTCTGAGAGAGGTAGGTCAGATTAGCATCTCAGCCTCCAGTCTCAGGGCAGCCCTTGTGATGCTGATTTAAGCCCCGCCTCCTCCGCTTTTCCCAAGAGCAGAGGCTTACCTTGAACTAGAAGTGGCCTTTGGTGCGGGCACTTGAGCAGGTCCTGTCAGCTATGGGGAGCGTAGTTTGTGGCTGTCACTGCCAGCGACATCAAAGGCGTCCTCCCCATTCCTAAACTTCCTGATCTCTGTGTCCAGGGGTGCCCGTGCTGAAATGGTACTTGTCCGCCGCTAGAAGGTGTGTCCTGAGTCTGTAGCCTCATGGACTGTCCAATAAGGAGGGGAGACCTGGGGTGCTCCTGGCCAGCTGCTGAGTCCGGACAATGCAGGGCAATGAGGACAGCGAGCAGGCTGTACGTCCTCCCGGTCCACCCAGAAACACCTGGGAAGAGAAGTCTGGCTATCCGCTGCTGAACCACCAGCTTCTGAAGACCTCGCAGAGCTGGAAGTCAGCTGGTTGGGTTAGGGGTGCCCACTGCAGTGCTGCTGCAGGGGCCACTGCGTCTGGACTGGATGCGGGGGCAGCAGCATCAGGAGTGAGCCTCTCTGTCTGGCCTGCTTTGTTCCCAAGTCACTATGGTTTCCATGCCCCCCCCCCAGCCCACCCAGCCATGTTCAGGTCCACACCCCCCCTCCAGCTACAGACTAGCTCGACCCTTCACCCATGGACAGCTCAGTCCATCCTGCATCCCAGCGGTACGGTGCCACCCTGAGCTGGGTGCAACGGGTCTTGTCTGTACCCACTCCTGCCTGCTGGCCCTTCCACCTCCCCTGGGTCTTCTCTTGGTGGGAGCTGCAGGCGCCTGTCCACAATGCTGGTCAGCTTCTCAGCATCTCGTGAGGCATTCAGTGCAGGGCCTGCACCCTTGTCCCTCCCCTTCCCCGTGTAGGAGACGGTGGGACCATGACTTGACCTTGTTGGTTATCCCTGAGGGGTGGGCTGGGTGATGGGTGGTGAAGCTGAGGCTCTGTGGGAGGCAGGGTGGGCTGTAGCAGAGGACCACCCCTGGTGGGGTGTGGGAGTGGACTGGCCAGCTGGGCAGCTCCCCCGCCTGTGGGTCTCAAACCAGCCTTTGAGGAAGGCCAAAGGGACCTGGCTTTGGCTCAGCTCCACCACCACCCTCAGACACTCCACCCACTCTTCCCTCTCTGGTCACCTCCCATGCCCATCGGGAGTCTCTGCCAGCCACACTTTCCCTCACTTTAGCAAGTGTTTCCTATGGGACCTGGTCAGAAGGGCAGAGGTCACTCCGCGCGCGCGCGCGCCCTCCATTTTCTGGTTCTGGAAGCGCTGTGGTTGCAGTGGGGAGGGGCTGGGGTGCTGCCTCGTCAGGCATCCATGGCGCCCAGGGGACTGTGGGTCTGGGGGATGGGCCTGGACTGATGGTCCCGTGCTGCCCTCCCAGCACATCCTGGAGCTGGAAGCCATGCTGTACGACGCCCTGCAGCAGGAGGCTGGGGCCAAGGTGTGCGAGCTGCTGTCCGAGGTGGAGCGGGAGAAGCTCAAGGTTGCCGTGGAGCAGTGGAAGCGGCAGGTCATGAGCGAGCTTCGAGAGCGCGATGCCCAGATCCTGCGGGAGCGCATGGAGCTGCTGCAGCTGGCCCAGCAGGTGCACATGGCGGGTGGGAGCAGTGGGGCCAGGGAGTGGGGGTGGGGGGAGACCCCACATGGCCAGCTAGGTGCCTGGCCAGAGCCAAGCCAGCTCCCATGACAAAAACCCCAAATGAGGGCCATCAACTTGTCAGCTCAGACCGCTCGTTACTGAAGCTCACAGGTAATGCAATGTGATCGCATATGCCCAGAGGGCTTGCCAGCCACAGAGGGCTGCTCCCCAGCTCCTGGGATTGCTAGTCCCCTCTGGTGCTGTCAGGGGCCCCCACGGCCACTCTTGGTCTGCCAACTGGACTGTGTTCAAAGACCAGCCTCCTGCATGGCCCCTGCAGGGTGTCAGCATAGATACTGATCATTTACATTTAGGTGGTGTTGCACTTACACCAAAATAAAGGTCAAGGGCCCAAACACAAGTGAGTCCTCTGGGGCTGGGGCTCTGTGGCCTGTCTGCTGCCTTCCTCTGGTCCCGTAGTCACAGAGGGGCCAGCAGGCTGGGTACCAACCTCAGGGCCTGGAGGCTCTCGAGGCTCCTGACACCATCTCTTCCCAAAGCTCATCTACCTCCCCATGTTGGGAGCAAGACAGAATGTGGTTTGAGGGAGGGGCAGAGCCTGTCTTCTCTCCCAGTGCACAAGAGAGAACCCTGAAAGACTGCTTGCTTGCTTATTAACAAAATTGATAAACCACTAACAAACACAACAAAGGAAAAGAAGGAGAAAAAGCAAATATTATGAACAATAAATTAAATGGTGACATCTCAACATAACCAACCGAAATAAAAAAGATAAGTACACAATCGTATGAAAAACTGCCTTCCAAAAAATTTGAAAACTAAGAAGAAATGGATAAATTTCAAGAAACGCATTATCCCTTTTAACACAGATTGATCTAGAAAATTCCAACAGACCTATAGCACAAGAAGAAATAGATAAGGTCATGAAAACTCCCAACATGAAAAAGTCCAGGATTTTTGTTTTGTTTTGTTTTTTAACTTTTAATGAATTTTTTCCTTTTTAAAAATCATATTATTGGGGGCTC